CCCCCAGAACTAAGAAGTCATTCATTGTTGACAACAATCCGATCAGATCCTGCCCGTTGCACCCGATTCATCACAGCTGGTGGGGTGAGGCCGTTGGGCTGCGATGGTTGTCTGCCGCGGCCGGAGTTATTGTGTCCATCTCTTCGCCCGTCTATCAGTTCCAAATACTTCTGCTCTTTGACCAGCTCAGCTTCAGGACTGCAATGTACTGCCGCGTCTTTTCGTACTCAATTTGGCCTATGGCCCTTATTCATTCTTCTTTTCCCATGCACTTTTGCTATCGCTGGCCAGCCTGTCTTCAGCTGTCACAATCATTCAACTCATTGTCCGACCACTTCCAGTACGGATTATTTCTCTCTTATCAATATCGATTCGCTTGCTTTCCACGTTCACTTTTTCCTTCTCAACACACCACCAGCAATCTTCACTGGCATGTTTAATCTTAGAAAAACTGTCTGTTAAAGGTCGCGCGCCACAGGCTTATCACACTGTTTTGTGCCCAAGTGCGGACCAGCAAATCCCTCTCAATCTGAGATGCTTCTGGTGTACGCCGCGACCTGTTCGCTGACCGAATCGATTGATTGGCCCCACTCGAGAGTAATAATCAATTTGCCACAACTATCATTAGTCTTATTGTTGTCGCTATAATGACCTTACCAATAGTACGACGGCAACAATTGGCAGAAATCAATAGACGCCCTTTTCTCTGTAGTCCAAAGATTACCGCCTATTTTCTATTAGTTTCCAGTGTTGAACCAACTATTTCCTTCTTGTCTTTTTTTCCAATTGCTGGGAAAATTTTCCACTTCTTCCCCAAAACTACTGACCGAGGAATGGAGGTATCTAGCGCAAATAAAACGAAAAAACCAAGGAAAATCTACAACATGGAAAAGTTTTCTCGAAGCTCGGAGATGTTTCTTACAGAAGCAAAAGCGACACTCCCCCCAGCAACCATGTTCGCCCCCCCCCCCTCCCCCCCGATGGGATTCTCTCAACGATGGTGTGCCCTGGTAGGAAAATGAGGGTTTGGAGGGCTATCTAATTCCTTTCAAGTGTCGCGCAGAGTTCGCCAAGATAATCCTTGTGAGCAGGTAGACGTTTGCACTGTTCGCATCAGGACCCAATCCATTCAACATGGCAGTGCTGCTGGCGGCCGCGAGCGCAACTCATCAACCAGATTGATCTAAAGGAGGGGGGACGTCCTGCCGTTGGGAAAGAACTCTGCAAAACATGACATTCTCAAGGTTTCTCGCTCTGGTACCACCCCCGCCCCTTCCCCATCTCCCATCCTAATTACCATCTCCCTGAACTTCCCCACTTTTCCGTCTCTACCATTTTCTTGGATTTTCATCATGAAATTTCTCCACGTTTTTCCTGAAAAAATTGTCGTTGACGATGGGAGGAGGATGGGCGAGAAAAAAGGCAAATACGACCTCCTCTCTCTAGCGATCAAATACGGATTTTCTGGGGACTTTCCAACGAACGACGTGCTCTGGTTACAACACCCGAATCTTTTCAAGAAGTGATTGAATCACTCGAGGTTCTAAGAAACTTATTTACTTGTCTTTCTATCAGGGCACATCGTTGTTGGGGAATCCCCAACAGGGGGGTCGTATTTGGCCGCCAGGAGAGGGGTATTTGGGCTGAGAAAAATTTATTTTGATAGTTGATTTTTCTCGCTTCACGGACTTTGTGTTCTCGGCTTCAACGATGAAACGGGGGTCGTACTTGCTCACTGTTGGGAGGCGGGGTCGTATTTACTTTCTGGCCTTTCTACGAGTGGTGGGAGTGGTGGTTGATTTTTCGTGATTTCCTATTTCATGCGTAGTATATACCCCTCGCTCGACGGCTCGATGAGGAAAGAGAGGGGGCGCAGAGGAAGGGGGGTCATACCACTCCCCCCCCCCAAAAAAGAGGGGAGGGGGTACTCGACTAAAATCCCAACCAATGATGTGCCCGCTCATATTTAGTTATGCAATTTGGTCCATCCAGTGACTTGCAGCGGCCAGGCAGTGTCCGTATCAGTGTCTCCAGCCAGAGAAGAACGGGATCACTTACAGACCCTGGAAGATAGAAAGGCCTTTGGCCAGGAAGGGGTGGTCCCGAGATTTGACTCTCGAGCCTGATAAGCTACTCCGCACGCCAGTGGAGTAGCTCTCCACTGCATACATCCTGCCATACTTTGAAGAATTCAATGATCGTCTGTACTTTGCGTCCCTACACTTAATGACGTGCTGAGGTTTTACCAGCGACGTTGTTAGCTTTACAGCCCAGGCTTTCAGCTGAGTTTAGAGCACTGCACTTGTCGTAGGTACTGCAGCCTTGTCAGACTATACTGATTTAGAAGTTGCATTCCAGGAACAGTTGGTTCAGGTAACTCGCTAGCTGTTATTTATTGATGCTTTCTTTTATCTGTTGTGACAAGGCGTTCAATGACCGTGCTGTTGGGCTTCATCGATACGCGATCAGGCACGCCCTAGCACTGAACGGAAATTTTGCTGCCCCCCCCCCGATTTTCTCCTCCAGTTCGACCTCAGGTGGTGTGGTACGTTACTAATCATCTTCGATGATATCCTGCCTTTCTGCTGCTTGAACATTTCTAAATTTCGAATTAATCCGCCCTGAAGTACTTCACACCTGGAATTCTCAAAATCATGACGTTTTTGGTGGGGAACGAGATCTTGCGGAAGGACGAGTTTGATAGACACGCGATGGGGGAATAA